GGAAGCTGGAAAGAAGGGCACAGTAATATGGCTACTGCTTTCCTCTCTGCAGCCCTGCTCTGGAGATGCCATAGGGAATTTGAGAGATCCGAGAAGCTAATGTGAAATCTGTGAGATAACCCTGGTTGGGTCCTAAACCAGGAGACAGAGATGGGTAGACAGCACCACAGGCAGAGGATGGCTGGGTGCACAGATGGGGAACATCTATCTCTGCTTCCTTCGATTCCTCACTTGCCCTAGGTGTGTCACTGCCATTGCGGCCACTATGCCTGGAGAGAAAAACCCAGCTAACCCAGGACTGGCAGCGGACAACAGAGAGACACCAGGGCACTGCTGGGACCCTACAAAGATTCCAGATATTACATTAAAAAGGCAATAGAGACAAAGAGATCCTTCCATTTCTGTGAGTCCTTCTTTCCAGCCCTCCTATCACATTTCAAGCATTAGGTAGTTACCACCAAGGGAGACAGAGACTAGTCCTTAAAAACCAGACCTCCCAGGCAGGAGTATAATGAGGAGGAAGAAGGATAAGGAGGTTAAACCTAAATTGACATCTTAAGTGTTCTCTCTCTGTCTGTCTCTCTCTTTCTGACTCCACCCCACCCCTATTACCACTCTCTCAAGGCACAAATACACACGTTTTTCTTTCTCATTCTCTCCCTAAACTGGACAAGGAATGGGACAATCTAGGGCCTGAGCTAAAGACCTTCGCAGGTTCACAACACCAGCCATGGCACCCAATATTCTGGGAGAGTATGACTCAAAGAGAAAAATAACAGCAGAGAAGCCTGACTGTGATCAAAGAGAACAGATCGAACAGTAGATGCCAGATGAATTTACAATCATGAACCAGGGAGAAAAAGAACATAAAGATAAGCATCATGCTTTTCTTCAAATACATAAAGGAGAACTTGGTAATGTAAAACAAGAAGTCATAATTGGAGACTTCTGGATGTTGAAAACACAGAGTCAGTAGTAGATGTAGTGAAAAGCCAAATGGACCAGTCTCTCCGGAGAATAGTAAAATGAAGAACAGGTGGGCCTTTGGCCCAGCAATTCCATTCCAGGCTGTACTGTGGATCAGTTTTCCCCAAATGCACCTGACAATAAGTTTACCACGTGGGACACTTGTGAGACCTAGTGATTCCAGGGCCTCCTTCAGACCTGCTGAGTCAGAATCCCCAGCCAAAGGGCCCAAGAATCTGCCTGTTAGTGAGACCCCACCCCATCTCCCTTCAAAGTGATTCCTACAACCACGCAAAACCTCTGTCCTAGAAAAATTCTCACAGAGACTGCCCACCATAGTGAACTGTGTAGTGGGGAACTGGAGACCGAACAAGGTGACCATCACCAGGAAAATGGGGTTTTCGGTACGGTGGATAATTCTATGAAACAACGTGCAGCTTGGAGCCACTGCACTGTGTGCACACAGCAATGTGGGGAGGCCTTTAGGAACATTTGTATTGAGGAAAAGGTAAGCATCAGAACAATATTTACAGTACAAAGCCTACTATGTAAACTTTAAATATACACACATATACGAAAGACATTGATAATCCGGGGCAGACATCCAGCACATTTAAAGTAGTAGTTGTCTTTAAAGCAGAGGGAGACTCAGGGATCAAATAAGGAAAATACATAAAATAAAACAAGACAGGGCCTCACCCATATCCATGAGGGCAGGGTGCCACCAACTGAGAAGAGGCTTAACTCTAATCTCTGCAGCTATCTAAATTTTTGTTTTCAACTCTAAGCAGCACTAAAATTCTAATCTTGTCTTCTACCAAGATTGCCTAAACCTGTCTGAGTTTCTGTACCTCCTAAGGCTGTTTTTTTTTTTCTGTTTCCTTCAATTGTGTGAGCTCTCCATATTTTTCCAATAAATATATCATTTTTCTATTTCCCCAAAATTTTTATTTCTTTTCCCTTCTGGAAGAATCTAGAGACCCTTCTCAATGAACATACTTATGGGTCAAGAGATGAGGCAACCATTCATGTCCACGTCCAGTGTCCAAGCTGCTCTGTTTCCAGGGCCACAGCTACTTCTGGAAGAGGCACGGACATGGAAGGGGCCCATGAAACAGGTCATGTTTCAGAGCGGGACGTTCATGTCCCCAACACCCCGCACAGTGCCCCACATACAGGAAGGGGTCAATAAATGCCTTTTAAATTAATGACTTCAGGAATGAAAGAAGACCTAAGTGAGTTTATAATAGTTGTTGTTTTAACTTTTTTTAAAACAAAATGTCACCTCCAGATTACCAGATTTTTAAAAAATTAATCTTGGCACAAAATAAAGAACAACAGGCCTACCATTACTATCTTTCTTGGGCCAAATCACTAGCAGTTAGCTCCAGGTCAACTTCATGGGCGAATGTCCTGTGCAATCACAGGGCTCCACACACTCAGAGGTCTCTGCACTTGTTTTTAATGCTATTCCTTCGTCATCTTGGGATCATTAAAATTTTTTTAGAAAGGAGCCCCTCATTTTTATTTTGCACTGGGCTCTGCAAATTGTATAGCTGATCCTGTTTAGCTCCAGCCTAAATCATACTGTGTATACCTACTTGAAACACTAATGAAACTAAAATATCACCATTGAACTACAGGACTGCCTAGCATTCACAATGACTGTGGCAAAGGAATTTCTATTGCAAGGACAGTGTCCTTCAGATCACAGCCTCTCCTTTCACCTTTCCTGCAAAGCTGCAACTCCACAAAGTCCTCTCCCAGGAATATATAACCAGCTATACAAATTTTATGGAACTTTTGGGCACAGGCCACATGTATGAAGATCACTATAGGCACAGTGTCACTGTGCAAGTATAGCTTGGAACAGTAATTTGGTTTCCACAGATATTTTCCATTCCATTTTCTGGAAGAAAGGTAGTGTAATGTTTTGGAAAGAACATAGGTTTGGGAGTTAGGGGAAGCTCAATTTGAATCTTCCCTTTTCATTTAGTTGTATAAATGTGAGCAGACTACTTCATTTCTTAGAAACTTAAAATTTCATCTCTAAAGTAGGAACAATCATAACATTGTTGGGAGAAGTAAAGTGAGATTTTCTGGAGGGAAGGAGGGAGGGAGGACGAAAGGAGGGAAGAAAGGAGGGATAAGCACCTAGAATAGTCTCTGAAATGGCATCAACAAATGGGAACTTTCTTTCCTTATCCCCTTTTATTCTCATTTCAAAAAAACAGCTCTTTGGGGCACTCTAAATTTAATATCACTTTTCTCTAGTCACCAAAGGCCTAAAATCCTTTCGCAGACAATGCCTAAAATTACTCAAGGCACTCGATATTCTGATCAAACCTATTTTGATCAGAATGTCCCTTTCCTGGCCCATATTGTAATCCTGCACAAATATTCATGAGAAGTTTTCCGACTTCTTTAATTACTCTTCATGCTTTCCGAATGCATTTTTTTCAATGCTCCCAGTATTTTTACACAGCTCATTACACCTTCCTACCCCCAAGTAATCCCCATGCCATCACCTGCCACACCCCAATTCATACCTCCCTTAATAACCTTCAGTTCTTCTAGGTGGCAAAAAAAAAAAAAAGAGAAGGCCTCATTTCCTGGCCACCCTGCCGCCTAGGGACAAACACCAGCATAGAAAAACACAGGAGCATTTTGATAAGCGCGGCCAGGTCTGATTGCTGCTCTCTATTCACCTGAGTTGGGGGGTGGCAGGGAGGCAGAAAATACTGCTCGCTGTAGAGTAAACACAGCTAGGTTTTGAATTCCTACTTGGCATTGACCTGAATCCTATCATACATCCTTTGCTATAAAGAGAAGCGTCACAACATTCAGCCACTTCCCAGGGGGCTCAGAGAACAACCAGGAAATTGTTTGGAGTGAATGGTGCTTTTTTATTATGTATTTGCCATTCCAGGAAAACCAGTTATTCTATCTTGTTCTACTGTGGACTGCCTCTTACAAGCAATTAAATAAGTGTGTGTGGGGCGGGGGGAGCGGGGAGTACAGGGAAGGAGAGATAAGGAGGAATTTCTAAACCAAAAATCAATCAATAAATAAAAAGACTACATTTGCACCCCATTTACCCTCAAACAAAATGAAATTCAACTCATTCCCAAAGATACTAGGATGCTTGAAATAATGGGGTCTACAAGAAAAGAGCCCACGATGGTTTTTCAGTTAATAGAATTTCCAAGCCTGCAGTATACTTTTAGTTCCCAGATATTGGGAATGAGGCTACCCAAGGAACCTGTTGTTCGAATGAGGACATCATTCAGTCTGAAAATAGACTCTGTTATTATGAGTGGGGCATTCAGTGTATCTTTCTCAAGCTATTTCGTGGATCATTCAGGTATTTCCCTCCCTGCCCCGCAACACCAGCAGGCATTTTTGCTGACTAAGCATGCCAGGAAGGAGGCTGGGCCTTAAAGAAATCAACACCGAGGCCAGTTACACCCCCACACACACCCCCTGCCCCTTTTAACATACTAATCTCCATTGTTTGTCCCCATTGGTGCCCTTCTGTGGGTCTCCAGGAGTGCGGGAAATTCTGAGTGTACCTGCTGGAGCAGACAAGAGGTCTCAACACTACAGATGCAGCACTAAGTTTCAGTAAAAATAACATATAGGCCTCAGGAATGGCAAATGTGTTATTAATTCATAATGTTTGCTTTGACTTTACAATTTACACACAAAACAAAGTACACACATTGTTTTATTTCACCAATTCTTTGTTCTGTGATTTCCAAACCTTTTTGACCTTTATACATCATGACCCAGTACATGTATCTCTCACACACACACGCACACACACACACACATACTCAAATATGACTCTAAGCAATGCACTGTGTTATTTCGGACTTTATCCATCCCATTGTTTTAATGCTGGTCACAACCTTCTAAAGTGATTTCACAACTCACTAATTAATGACTTGGAACCCTCAGCTCTCAATTACCCTTTTAGTCAGTGGGCTAAATACTGTCTGTTGGCATTTATTCTCACTTCTACTCCCTTCTAGGCCCTTTTGCTGAACAATTAAGGCTAGAAGCCTGAGAACTGCACTTTCTCAACTACCTTGCCTCCAGGGCAGTACTTTCGTTTCTGCCAATACGATGCTCTTATTGGATTTGGAAGGCAGAAGAGAGACAGAAAGCGTTCTTCCCCTAGCAGTAGCAGGAGCTGCTGCTGAAGCCAGAAGACCCTGATGGCCTCGCCCACACTAGCCCTGATCCTGACCTCTGGATGAAAGCAGCAGCTTCCTGACTCTCCTGGCCACACCAGCAAATCAGAAAGCTTTGTTCTCCCAATCTTTCCTGTTTTTTGAACACCTGTTTCCCAGTTTAAATGCCCTTTTTGCCTCATATATTGGTTTCTGCTTTCCTGAATAAAGCTCAGTTGATACAGATAGATACTGAAAATCCTCATTTTATTTTTGCAGAAACCAAGACTTAATGAGGTCAAATGACTGGCACAAGGTCACACAGTAGTAAGCAGCAAATCTACAACTCAATCCATTTCTGATGGCAAACTCAGATCTCTTTCTCCCCATTCACAGCTGTTTATGTGTCAAACAGTCATTGAGATTTTTTTGTCTATACAAAAGTATACCAACCTTATATCTAAATTATGGTAAAACTCTTCAAAACGTTCATAACTTTTTTCCTCCTCTTTCTCTATCAAATTTAAATCCATTCTTTTGTGCCTACATTAACCTACTCTGACATTTCCTTTTTGTGAACTGCTATAGTTAGAAACTTTGAACTCTTTTAAAGGGCATAATTAATGTACATCTTTTTCTCCAAACTAGGTTCTGTCTTGAAGACCAGAATCCTATTTCAGCTTTCTTGTGTGTCTCTCTATTATATTTCTTAGATTTCTTTTTTATGCCTATCAAGTGAGAGACATCCAATAAATACAGTTGCTCAATTAATACACCTTACACAATTGTCACTTTGCCACTTTTTACAGGTCATAAGAAGATAAAATCAATCACCTCTTACCTCTCAGTTGTCTAAATAAGGAAACATTCTCTGCTAGGCAGTTTTGGAGAAGGAAAATTTTATTCAAGGGGTAAAATTCAAGGGTCCTCCTCCCAAATGAAAATAGGACACAGCAAGAAAATAAATGGAAGTCCACATAGCTCTGCCAATGAAGGAAAAATTCTTATTGGATTTCATCTATTTGTACTAAACTCCTATTTTTTTCTTTCATTTTACTTTAACCCTTTATCATTTTTATGTTCTAAGTACTTTTAGTATATACGGCAATCTCCAGTCCTTTGTGAAATGAGACAGGATTAAACTATTTAAGTACTACATTCACATCAGGGTATAGAAAATGTTCCCCGCCACCAGGGACTGAGTTCGGACTGGCCACCTAATTCTGAAGTCAATGCCATTCAGACCAGTGGTTCTCAAAGTGTAGTTGCCAGGCAAGCAGTGGTACCTGGGGACTTATGGAAAATGCACATTCTTGGGCCCCACCCCAGAAATGAATTGAAACCAGTGGGTGACTCCAGTACACACACAAAAGTCGGAGAATGTTGCTTTAGACATTTGAATTGAACCACATACACTGCCCCCGCCCAATGTTTGTGGCCATTTTATCCACTGTCCTAAAAGCTGTATAAAGCAAGGGATACATCAGAATTAGAGATGCGTTCAACCCTACACTCTAACAGCAAGACTGCTGCCTAAGGCTCATCTCCAACGTGGAAAACAGATGCCATCATCGCTCAGCTGGGCTGTTAGAAAGATGAAGAGCAGTACTCAGTCAATGGTAGCATTAGTACTGTTGCGTTCTCACACCACTACCTCTCGGGAGCACTATGAAGGCATGCGCCAATTTTAAATGACAGTTTGCATTTTTGTCTCTATAAGAATTGAAATCCATTGCAGACAAGAAAAATAACTTGTGATAAACATGAAGAAGCATGAAGAGTATCATGAAGAAAATAAAAGTATGGAGAAAAAGAAGGGGTCAAAGGAAAGCAACAAAGTAGAGCAAAAGTGGGGAAGGAACGAAGAAAAGAAATTCAGGTCAAATACAGAAATTAAAAAGTGAACAGGGAGTAGAGGGAGAAGAAAAAGAAAAGAGGAAAAAGAAAAAGGGATGAGAAGAGGGAAAGCAGCAGAGGAAAGGAAGGCGATTAAAGCATTCAGGTTCAACTGAGCACTTAGCTTTCTATCACTCCCAGAGCGAGACTCTATCTAACTACCCTCATCCCTTCAAGCTGCTTCTCAGGCTGGAAAGTAGCCTTGTGTCTGGAAAAAGCTGTAAGCATCTTACATGCATATGTTCCACCTAATCCTTAACAGTGTGGGCCTGTGTTCCTGCAGAGGGAGGACAGGCTCGTGCCAGCTGCCATGTGGCAGGACAGCTCAGGGACTCCTGTCCAGCCCACCCAAGAGCCAGAGGCACGAATGGCACTCCCTTCTACCCAGATCTGAGCCAGGATAAGGAAAACAGCTCCTTCCTCTCCCAAATTAAGGGCTGTAAACCAAAGTGTGTCCGATTCTTACTATTTCCAGTCTCCTCACACTGCTCCCTCCCTGTGCTTTTCCTCCCTAAGCCAGCTTTGTCTGAATGGACAAACATTCAATTCTTTTAAATGAAATAGAAGTGAAGAGAGAAGAGGAGAGGAAGGAGGGGAGGGGAGGGAGGAGGGAGGGAGGGGAGGGGAGGGGAGGGGGAGGGGAGGGAGGGGAGGGGAGGGGAGGGGAGGGGAGGGGAGGGAGGGGAGGGGAGGGGAGGGAGGGGAGGGGAGGAGGGAGGGGAGGGGAGGGGAGGGGAGGGGAGGGGGAAGAAGGAGAAACCGTCCTGCTTTTGCTTGTCCTCAAACTCTGACTTAACTTCATGTGAAAACAAAGCATTTCCACAGATGAGCATCATCTCCACATGCAGATTTTTTCCAGAAGTTTCTATTTTTTCTCTTTCTTTCTTTTTGAATTATTTTTTAAACATAGAAATTAATTCAATCCAAGAATCTCATGAGGGAAGCTAACTCAGCCTGCCAGGAGAAGGACCGTCATATCTGGAAATCACATGAGGAATGAAGAGAAACCACAACTTTGCTTAACTCACAGTGTCCTATAAAACATGTTTATACTTGGGAAAAGACAGGTGAGAGAGAAAGAAAAGCTTTTGCAACCAGCGTATTTGTTCTTGGTTGTCTGCCCAGGTCTGCCCTGCCACTCAACCTGTCATCTCTGTCCCCACTAACCTAGAGGATCTATACACACATCATCTCAGACCCTGGTACACACCCTGACATCCCCCTCACTTGATAGCTCCACAAAATGATAGGTCTGACTTACCTACCATCTACCTGAATTTAGAAATGCATTAAAGAGTCAGGAAGAAGGCACTGGCTGGGTAGATCAATTAGTTGGAGCATCATCCCATGTACCAAAAAGCTGCAAGTTCCATTCCCAGTCAGGGTGCATACCCAGGTTTCAGGTTCAACCTCCCCATCAGGATCATATGGGAGGCAACTAACTGATATGTCTCTCTCACATCGATGTCTCTCTCTCTCTCTCTCTCTCTCTCTCTCTCTCTCAGAAAATCAATAAACATATCCTTGAGTGAAGATTAAAAAGAAAAAAGAATCAGGAAAAGGCAGAAGTGCAATACAAATGTCAAATGTACAATATATACAAAGCAAATTAACAAGGCAAGTCTTAAATGAAAAGTAAGAAATCAAAATAAAACTAAGTAGCTCCATTTGGGGCACTTATAGTCATGCCTTTGTTCAATTGCAATTTTTACTTAGACAGTAAAAAAGGCTACAGAAGTATCCTTGGGCTTAAAAATGGCCCAGGCATTATGGGATCATCTGAGGGGTAATGTTGAGATTCAAGGAAGGAGGACTACATGAAGGAGGTGGTCTTCCTCCAATAAGAGAGAACTCTTCCTTTGTAATTTATCATGTGTAGGGTAAATGGAGGCAGTCTGGCTTCCTCATGCAAGTATCTGGGTAACTAAGGGAAGTAGTTTTCCCATAGCCTTGAATGGACCTGATAAATAGCATTCTTATAGCCTTGAGACTGAATCTGATAAACTGTTTCCATAACGTAAAATGGGCTCACATGTGCAGAATTATGCTATGTTATATAATTTTTTGGCTTGAAGCCAGCTTTGTTTGTCTCTAGCACTTAAACAAGTGGGGGTTTCTCTCTACAGAGATGCCCAGCTTGCAGCATGCATGGCTTACATACCCTTGAATAAAAGCATGTTAAGCATCCCCATGGCTCTGTGAATATTCTTCCATCTGCCCAAATTAGGTGAACCTGTAAGGCCTTGAATGGTCACAACACGCCGTAGTTAGGCAGGGCCTCTCCGAGAATTCCACTTTGGCACCTCCTTCCTGGGCAACTTTGATGGTTTGGGGCAGCACCTTGAATGAGACTGAATATCAGTGTATCTTGCTTTTCCTCAGAAGCAGAATTAAAATACTAGTGCAATGTGTTAGGGAAACAAACTTTCCAGGCTTCCTGTTTAAATCTCTCCAAGGAAAGATATTTACAAATACACCAGGCTGGTATGAGTCACTCAAAATGTGCTGAGCATTTTCAGTTCCTTTTTAAAGGCAAACAAGCACAATTATTAAACATACACACAAAGCAAAAAACAAACGAAAAAAAAACCCACCCTGCCATGGTGAGAGTGAAAAGAGTCCTCCTATCCCATCACTTTAAGTGTTTCTATCCTCACTTTACCTGGTCATCTGTGAAAGCAATAATTCCCTTGGAGGAGGGAGAACTCCAGCATCTCCTACACCCCCACCACCTCGTTTCTGCCTACTTCTCAGGAAGATGCCCTCGTGAGCCCCAGCAGGGCCACCTCTACCACCCCCAACTGAGAAGACCCGTGATTTCTGTTTCCTTTAAAAAACAAAAAGTCACTTTCCTACTCTCCTTCCTTAGAGCAGAAAATCCAGAGTTATTAGATAACCCAAAGATGTGCAATGTAAATTATTGACAATTTCCCCTGGGAGATAGAAAATAAAATTACCTAAAGTCAATGGAATTCTTTAATGTTCAAAGGCTGGCTTTAAAATAACAAACTTGAGATGGAACTTTACACTTTCCCAGGTAACAGTCTGCACCCAAATATGGAGCAGCCCATGCCTCACTAGTAAACATCCACTACCGGAATGCCTGGGTGAGTCTTTCCTTGTCAGAAAATTCTCAGCTTCTTGAAAGTGAAGAAGCCTCGTAAGGAAAGAGGGAGATCCAAGGAGAGGTTCCCAGGGGTTGTTTTGAGGTCACTGTGTTCTGAGAGCCACATCATATTCTACAGCCTCATGGAGCCACTGAATGACCCAACTGCCTGAGGGCTTAGGAAGAGCCAGCCCCTGACACCAGTTTCCAAATATTAACAATGTCTTTCTGTTGTACATGTGTGCA